CGAACCTTTGCAGGACTCACTGGAGGGTCTGTTCCATCCCTAGGTGTCCCGCCCATGGGTTGTCATGGGCCAACTCCAGGACGGCTCTCCTGTGGGTGGCTAGGACGAGTAAATTGCCTCAAGTCCCCCCCGTCTACCGGGTCAGTGATAACCCGGGAAAGTCGGTCAGCGTGTACCTCAAAATGGGGCCCATCACCCATGCTGCCAGGGTCCTCCGCTGGCCCATCGGTGGCATATTCCCAGGCCCGCCGGAGGGAGGCATCTGCGCGTTGGGCTTTGATGAAGTCCCTCCCCTTGAGGACATCTTGGCATATTCCCAGGCCCGCCGGAGGGAGGCATCTGCGCGTTGGGCTTTGATGAAGTCCCTCCCCTTGAGGACATCTCGGCTGGTCCCCTCGGGTCTTTCCACAGGCGTTGAAACCCCCTCCAGTCACGGCCAAGTATCGTGGGATAAGGCAGCCAAGGGACCAAGGCCACCTGACACCGGGTCTCCCCTCTCGTCGGTCAGGACTACCCACGCCGTGGGATACTCCCGAACATCCCCATGGATGCATTGCATTCTTACTGGGGGTCCCCTCGGGCTCTCGGGGTCCACCAGGTCGGCTCGGCAGAGGGTTTGGCTACTCTCGGTGTCAATGAGGGTATCTACAATGGCTGCGCCGAGGTGTATCTGGACTGTTAGCCTGGTGTTCCCCTTGGGTCCCCCTCGTCTCACCATCAGCACCTGTACAGTCCATGTACGGGCAGTCTCGCCGAAAGTGCCCTTCCTGCCCGCACTCAAAGCAGAGGTTTTTCTTGGGCTCTGGCCCCGAGGGTCAAGGGGCCTCCTTGTTCATTTCCCTTCCCCGTCCAGTGGGTTCCTTACGAGTAGTCCTCAGCGTTCCGTCCGGTTTGGGGACGAGGACAATAGGGCTCTGCCACTCACTATGGGATTATTCTATTACCCCTAGCTCCAGCATCACCTGTACCTCTCCCCTTACTTTGTCCCACATCTTTCGCGGGAGGGGGTGGATCACATCGCACACCTTCTTACCTGGCATGGTCGCGATGTGGTGGCTAATTACCTCCGTCCTCCCTGGCACGGTGGATAGTACCATCAGATATCTCTGGAGTAGGGCACGGAGGTCGTCCTGTTGCTCCGGCCTCAGGGCCTCGTTTGTTGGTAGTGGCATGGCGGGGTCTAAGTCTCTGGCCCATGGCCCCACGTCCACCTCGAGCCCCTCCGGGATGACCAGGATTTGTTCACAAGCCTGCCATCTTTTTAATAGATTCACATGGTAAATCTGGGAGGTCCGCCGCTCACCCTCCCGCCATACCTCATAATCCACGTCTCTGACTCTGTGTATGACCTTAAATGGGCCCTGCCACTTGGTCAACAACTTTGATTCCTTGAAGGGGAGGAGCAACAGCACCTGGTCCCCGGGCTCGAAGCTCCTCTGTTCCATCCCCTGGTTATAGTTCTGGGCCTGTCTCTCCTGGGCCCTAATGAGGTTGACCTGGGTGAACTCGGCCAGCTTCTGTAGCCTCCCCTGTAATTATATAACGTACTGGACCGTGTCCCTCTCCCTCAGCCCCTGCTCTTCCCACGTCTCCTGCAGGACGTCAAGTATCCCTCAAGGTCTCCACCCATACAAAAGTTCAAAGGGGGAGTACCCCATGGAGGACTGCAGGACCTCCTGGATCGCGAACAATAAGGCCGGGAGGAAGACATCCCAGCTGCTGGGGTCCTCCTCCACAAACCGGCAGAGCATAGGCTTCAGTGTCCGTTTGTAGCGCTCTGTCAGTCTGGGGGTGGTAGACCAACGTCCTAAGGAGTTTAATATCCAGTAACTTGCCCAGCTCGGCCATTAAGCGGAAGGTCACGTTCATGCCCTGGTCCGTCAAGATCTCCCTGGGGATTCCCACCCTCGCGAACCTTTGCAGGACTCACTGGAGGGTCTGTTCCATCCCTAGGTGTCCCGCCCATGGGTTGTCATGGGCCAACTCCAGGACGGCTCTCCTGTGGGTGGCTAGGACGAGTAAATTGCCTCAAGTCCCCCCCGTCTACCGGGTCAGTGATAACCCGGGAAAGTCGGTCAGCGTGTACCTCAAAATGGGGCCCATCACCCATGCTGCCAGGGTCCTCCGCTGGCCCATCGTCCCCTCGGGTCTTTCCACAGGCGTTGAAACCCCCTCCAGTCACGGCCAAGTATCGTGGGATAAGGCAGCCAAGGGACCAAGGCCACCTGACACCGGGTCTCCCCTCTCGTCGGCCCCCCGGGGCTCTGCAATGCCTCCCACAGGCGTTGAAACCCCCTCCAGTCACGGCCAAGTATCGTGGGATAAGGCAGCCAAGGGACCAAGGCCACCTGACACCGGGTCTCCCCTCTCGTCGGTCAGGACTACCCACGCCGTGGGATACTCCCGAACATCCCCATGGATGCATTGCATTCTTACTGGGGGTCCCCTCGGGCTCTCGGGGTCCACCAGGTCGGCTCGGCAGAGGGTTTGGCTACTCTCGGTGTCAATGAGGGTATCTACAATGGCTGCGCCGAGGTGTATCTGGACTGTTAGCCTGGTGTTCCCCTTGGGTCCCCCTCGTCTCACCATCAGCACCTGTACAGTCCATGTACGGGCAGTCTCGCCGAAAGTGCCCTTCCTGCCCGCACTCAAAGCAGAGGTTTTTCTTGGGCTCTGGCCCCGAGGGTCAAGGGGCCTCCTTGTTCATTTCCCTTCCCCGTCCAGTGGGTTCCTTACGAGTAGTTCAGGACCACACGGGGGGCTAGTCTCCGCTTTTTGTGTCCCACCCCGGGGTGAGGTGACATCCCGTCTGGGGTCTCTCCGGGTCCCTGGGCTTGGCCAGGCAGGCTGGGAGGGCTCTGTCCATGGCTGCCCTGGTTCATCAATCCCCTCAGAAACCAAGAAGTCTTCCATGAGTCTGACCGCCTAGTCAAGGGAGCCTGGTTGGTACCATCGAACCCACCTCTGCCCCTCCGGTGGGAGGACGTGAGTGAACTGCTCCAAGTACACCAGCTCTGCTACTTGTGGGCCTGTCTTCCCCTCCGGGTCGAGCCATCGGCTCCCTGCCTCCGTAGCCGTATCGCACTTCCCTGAACTTCTGCTGTTGGGTCTCTGGATAGCCTCCTTGACCCAGTGGTAATGGAGGGCGTCTTTCCCAGACAGGCCCTGGTAGGCGAGCTGGGCTGGGCCCATGATATAGGGTGCCAAAATCGTAGCCCTCTGGTCTTCCGACGTCCGGGCCGCGGCTGCCATCTGCTCGAACATCACTAAGTAGGCCTTCGGATTGTCCAAGGTGCTCATCTTGGTCAGATGTGTTGCTTCCTCCCCCCCACCAGGGATGGGGGCCGGTCGCACAGCTCCCGGATCAATTGCCGCTGCTGTTCCTGGGCCTGCGACATCAGTTGCTGAATTAATTGAGTTTGCTGTTGGTGGTTTTGCTGTTGGGTTTCCACCATCCACTCCAATAATTTGGGGGTCTCCATGGTCAGCTCACGGGCACCCGGTCTGCTTCCCCTGCACTCTCCCCAGGAGAAGACCACAGTCAGTGCCCCGTCGCACGTACCCACATTCTCCACCACGTATTGAGGGGCGTGAGGCTCCGCCCCACTACCCATCCTGTGCCCAAAAACCCCATCTACCATGCTCCCTATCAATCCCCCCTGCCCCGAGTCCAGGAGGGTTGGTCCATTTAAAGTTGCCCACTCCTGTGTGGTGCTGGGCTGGCGAGGAGAGGTAGGAGGGCTCGGGCTCACCCTCACTCCGACCCAGGGCCCTAAGGACTGAGACTCGGCACCCCAGTTCCGGTTGGTGGGGGGAAAGCTCCACCCCGCAACACACCAACCCTCTGGGTTCAATACCCTGCCCTGGGTCGTTTCCTACCTCCCCCGCCAAGTCACTGTGACGGCCTTATCCGGGGGCCTCCTTAGGGACGGCTCGTGATGCCTCCGCCAGGCCTCCCTGCGGTTGTCTCCCTCCGGCTCTGCCACTTTCCACTCCTCAGGGTCCATGCCTCCGTGCTGGTCAGCCCTACTAGGCTCTCTGTACCTCGGTCTCCTCCCCCCGTCGCTGGCGGCGGCACCCGCTACATCTCATGCGTCAGGGGCAGGGACCTCCCCAGCTCCTCCGGACGTCCCCCCCCTTTGTGTGCTCTGCCCCCTCCGAGGGTGCGCCTGCGCTGCCCCATGCCATGGTGGTTCGCCGGCTCCCTGGGTTCCCTGCCCCGCCGGGGCCGGGGATGCTCGGACAGTCCCTGCCCGCCCGCATCCCGGGGCCCTCCCCTGCACACGGTGGAGTAAGCCGCTCAGGGCCGGAGCCGGAGCGGGACCGCTGCTTTTCTCCAACACGCCAGGGATGGTGCCGGGCTCGTGCAGGGCGCGGGCCCTGCCCCATCACAGTAAGTCTTCCTCAGTGGTGAACCGTGAATTTTGAATTCCCTCTCAGAACACATTTGGCTCCTACTTGGTCTGTGTTTTAAGGAAGATGAATCTATTTTTCCAGATTTTTGGAATCTGGATTTGTTTTTTTCACCTCTAAGGTTATCTAGTTCTCAGCAGGAGGGTGTATGTTAGAATGTCTTTGAGGGGAAAGTTTGTACAATGCACCCAGACACTGGCTTAGAGCATAGGAAAGCCAAATGTAATTTCCTGCTCTACCATGGATTTCTTTTGTGTCCTTCGGCAAGTCACTTAGCCCTTCTGTGTGTCAGTTCCCAGCTGTAAAATGGGAATTATAGCGCTGCCTTTCCTATTGATAAGTGCTACTGTAAGGTTGGGAGCATTGGCTAAGGAAGGTCATCTCTGAAAGTAACTGTTTAGGTGATACTGTAAACATTGTCAAAAGAGAATCCATTTAGTTTTAAGATCAAGTTTGAACAGGCCAATATGTGGTTTTACATCAGTATTCAGTCTAGAACCAAAAGAGTTTCAATGTAGTTGTTGAAAGTGATAGCAAGCTGCAATCCTGTAGGACACGCAGTTTACTGATTCAACTACTACTGCATATTTTTTTCTAGGTATGGCAGTGTGGAGGGAGTGTCGAGGTTCTGCCTTGCTCCAGGATTGCCCATATTGAAAGAGCTCATAAACCATACACAGAGGACCTTACTGCTCATGTCCGAAGGAATGCGCTAAGAGTGGCTGAAGTCTGGATGGATGAATTTAAAAGCCATGTGTACATGGCATGGAATATACCCCAAGAGGTGGGTTGCAAAGATCATTGGCATGCTTGGATAGCTTTGGCTCAGGGCCTAAAATACGAGCTTTAGTTCAGCCACCCTTATTCCCATGGAGTAGTACCGTGAGCAATGCCATTGTCTGTATGTTATTTACAATGAGTTTCTTAACATGCTGCTTTTTTCTTGTTTATTGTTGTCCCTGCAGCACTCTTTGAAGTTAGTACCTGCAGGAGTGTCAAAAATGAAGCTTACATGCAGTGTTGTTGTACCTCTGTTGGTCCCAAGTTATTAGGGAGACAAGAAAGTGAGGCAATGTCTTTTATTGGTCAAATATCTAGATGAAACTGAGATTGAGGCTATGTCTACACTACCGAGTTTTGTCAGAAAAACGGCCATTTTTGTGACAAAACCTGCATTATGTTCACACTGAAATAGCATACTTCCGAAAGTAAATAGAAAGAACAGAGGCGTTTTTCCGGCATTGGTAATCCTCTTTCTACGAGGAAGAAGCCTTTTTCTGAAAGAGCTCTTTCAGAAAAAGGCATGTGTGGACAAGGAGGAAAGAAGAGGCCTCCAGGAAATAACACAGGTCCCCTGGTGGTCACTCCATCCAAATTAATCAGAACTCCATAGTTCCTGTCTCCTGGCCCCTCTTAAAGCTGAGGGCACCCTGCACAAGCCTTGTGTCAGAAAGCCAGCCTGAGAGCAGCACCTCACCCTGCTGTTCTCCTTACCACAGGCCTTGCCACCCATGACGGAACCACAAGCCCCCTAAGACCTCCCAGCCCTCACAGGGAGCAACTCCAGGGGTCCTAGGACGCACCCAGGGGGACCAAAAGGCAGGCACCCACCTGGTTGGGAGTGGAGATCCTGTCCTTCCTCAAGCTGTGGGGCATGGAGGAGACATTGCAGGTTATCCACTCCAAGCGATGCATGGCCAAATCCCTGGCAGAGCGTGGACACCCACCCCGGACCTTGGAACAAGTCCGGATTAAGGTGAAAGAGCTCTGCCACAGATACGTACGGGCCAGAGAGCTCAGCTAGTGCTCAGGGGCAGGACCCCACTCCTGCCCCTATTACCAGGAGCTGCACCAGATCCTAGGAGGTGGGAAAACATCTTCCCCACACGTTCTGGTGGACTCCAGCCTCCAGACCCCTGTTGTTGCCTGGCTGGAGGTCATGGCAGAGGAAGAGCAGGAGGACCATGGCCATCCAGAGGAGGAGGAGGTGATGGACACCATCACCCTGTTCCTGGAGCCGGTACCTGTCAGCCAGGATGTCTCCCAGGCCTTGTTGAGAGGGATTGTCAGGTGAGTGGTGTTCTCAGTCTGTTACACACACAGGGCTGGGAAGGAGTGTGCGCAGTGGGCGGAGAGCGATTGTCACTCAGGCTGTTTGTTCTGGACATCGTGCTGCAGTCTGCACACATGGAACCACGTACAGCATTAGTGTGCACCATACGGATGCAGCAGGCAGCCCCTGAGCACGGGTGGGATCCTATTGCCAGGCTCAAAGGAGGCCCCACATGTCCTGCTACGGGGTAGCCTACCAACACCTGCCACGGCTGGAAACAGGCTGGTGGACTCCAGCCTCCAGACCCCTGTTGTTGCCTGGCTGGAGGTCATGGCAGAGGAAGAGCAGGAGGACCATGGCCATCCAGAGGAGGAGGAGGTGATGGACACCATCACCCTGTTCCTGGAGCCGGTACCTGTCAGCCAGGATGTCTCCCAGGCCTTGTTGAGAGAGATTGTCAGGTGAGTGGTGTTCTCAGTCTGTTACACACACAGGGCTGGGAAGGAGTGTGCGCAGTGGGCGGAGAGCGATTGTCACTCAGGCTGTTTGTTCTGGACATCGTGCTGCAGTCTGCACACATGGAACCACGTACAGCATTAGTGTGCACCATACGGATGCAGCAGGCAGCCCCTGAGCACGGGTGGGATCCTATTGCCAGGCTCAAAGGAGGCCCCACATGTCCTGCTACGGGGTAGCCTACCAACACCTGCCACGGCTGGAAACAGGCTGGCCACAAGGATGCAGGCACAACCCCAGACACCGCAAGGAGTGCTGCACACATCACGTGGGCATGCCTGCACATGTGAGGCACCACCCACTCCTGCAGGCAGCACTGCAAGCCACAGCTGTGTGTGCAAGCCCCAAGGGGGGGGCCAGGCTGCTCCTGGATCCTCTGCCACCCATATGATTCCACTGTGGCTGGACACTTCCCTTGCCTGCTTGTCTGTGGGCCGGGAAGGGAGGGAACACGGTCCCCTGGGCACCTCAGGGCTCCTGTGAGGCATGGCCCGTTGTGCAGCCCACACGTGGCCTTGCTCCCGGGACATCTCCCTCCTCTGCCCTGAGGACTGTTGGTTGCTGTTGGTTGCTGCTCACAGAGGAGGGCACATCTTCAGGGACTATTTCTGCAGGGATGACTGATTGCTTCTCCCTCTGTGTGTTCTCCACAGCTGGACCAGCCGGAGCTTAGGGGAGAGCCACGCCACCAGAGCCAGCTGCCAGAGTCCTGGGGACCCGAAAGCATGCCAGGGTCCAGGAAGACCTCATGCACCAGCATGTCAGCATCATGGGTGACATGCAGCAGACCATGGTGCAGAAAGTCTGCGAGGACTCAGAGTGGCGGAACTGCGCATGGGACCAGCTCGTAGTGGTGCGATACCATGTGTGCCATCATGTCGTGCATGCTGGCACATTCGCCTGCTGTTGCTGCTCCTGGTGCCCAGTCTCCCCCCCCCTCCTGTGCCCATTCTCCCCTGAAAGGGAGCATAAGGGGCACACTGAAAGTGATGCCCATATCCCCTCCCTCTGCCCCCTGCCATGCCTGACCCCACTCCAGCCCCCCTTTCTGCTTACCTCTCTGTGGTCCCTGGACCGACCCAACCCAACTCTGACAAGGTCCCCACACCAATGGTGACACATCTATCCGCCCCCCCCTCCTTTCAGGTTATCCGCCCCCTCCCTCTCCAGGTTCTGAGCCTCCCTCCCTCTGCCCACCTTTTCTTAATATAAAATAAATACAGACTTCATTTTGTTGGAAACCAAACAGGTGTGTTTACTGAGAGATCAGGGAAGGGGCAAAGGAAGGGGTTGTGATGGGGAAGGGATAGGGCTTCAAACCAGAGGCCCCCGTTGGGGAAGCTCTGGGGAGAGTTACTGGGGTCCTTGAGAGAACCTCTCCCTTAGGGCCTCCTGGATGTGCACCCTGGTCTGATGGTACTGGCAGATGGCAGTTGTCCGCAGCTGCTGGAAGGCTCGTCTCTCGCAGCCGGTGTCTGCCCCCCACCCCAGGAGGAAGGCCTTCCTCTTCCTCTCCACAATGTTGTGGCGGACACAACATGCCATGACTACCTCAGGGATGCTGTTCTCCCCCACATCGAGGTGGGTCAGCAGGCACCTGAAACATGACTTGAGGTGGCCGAAGGCACATTCCACTTGGATCCAGGCCTGGTTCAGGCGGGCATTAAATTGGTTCCTGCTGGGGTTCAGGTCACTGGTATAGGGTTTCATAAGCGATAGGATGAGGGGGGTAGGCTGTGTCCCCCACGATGCACAGTGGCATCTGCACGTCCCCCAGTGGGGGAAGAATGTGCACACCTCCTGCTTGCCATAGAGGCTCAAGTTTCTAAAAACGAGGGGATCATGTGCCCTGCTCGAGCACCCGAAAAAAATGTCCATGAAGTGTCCACGGTGGTCACCGAGAGCCTGCAGCATCATGGAGAAATAGCACTTTGTATTAATATACTGGGCCGCTCGATGTTCTGGTGCTCAGATTGGATGTGGGTCCTGTCTATGGCTCCAGTGCAGTTTGGGAACCCCAGGGCGGCAAATCCAGACACGATTGGGTCCAGGACTCCCAGGCCCCAATGGTGAACTGCCCCACCCCAAACTGGTTGCCCACAGGCCGGTAGCTGTCTGGGGGTAGTGAACTTCCAGAGGATGATTGCAACCCACTTCTCCAGGGGGATGGTGGGTTGTAGGTGGGTGTTGCATCTCCGGAGGGTGGGGCAAGCCAGGCACACAACTCCAAAAAGGCCTTCCGCATGCAGAAGTTTTGGAACCACTGCTGATCATCCCAGCACTCCATGACCAGCCAGTCCCACCAGTCCAAAATGGTGTCCACATTCCAGAAATGCCTCTCCACAGTGGGTTGCAGTTGTCAGAGTGTATCTTCCGCACGCAGGGCGAGGATCCCCAGAATGAGCTGGACCAGGACCAGGAAGGCAGCTGGCACAAAGTGCTGCAAAAACTTCAGCATGGCCTTGTGGGGTCATCACATGCCCAGGGGCAGCTCCAGCTCCATTGCACCAAGAGAAATGTTTTATAAAGGAGTGAGTTAGCAACCGGGCAGCTTGCGAACAGGGGCTATTAACAGAGAGTTTGGAGAGGGAGTTAGGAAGGGAGGTGGGAAGAGGGTGAGATACTCTAGCCATTCTTTAGAAACTTTTCACTAAACTCCTGCCCTTCAAGGAGGCATTTAATAAGAGCTGAGGAATCTCTCAGAAGGAAGGCAGGCATGGATGGTGATAGGTTTGCTGTTGTTACCTGCACAGCATGTGCCATGTTTGTCTTCCTCCTGGAAGACAGAAGGGATTTCATCTATACTAAGTGCAAGCTGGTCACCATTTTGGAAGGTACTTGAGGGCCAAGTATCAACCCTATGTTCTATCAGAGAGGATGAAGACTTCCTCAGTCGAAGGCAACGTTTAATCCTGCAGGCACAGCAGGCTGAAGAGCCAGTCAGGGCAGTACATGTCAAGGAAGAACACTGGCAGCATGTAACCTCTAGAAGGAGAAGAGGGCCAACTCAGGTATCCCTCGTCCCTTTAAAGATAAGTAACCTCTATCAGGCTTACTCCACAGGCACGGCGGTGGAGAATGCTTTGGCAGGGGCCTCTCATGGAAGAAATCAGAAGGGAACACCATCTACCAGAAGGCATAGGATCTGTAGTCCTAGGGATGGGGGTTCCATGACCACCACCCCAAAAAGAAGAAGACGGGTGGTGGTGGTCAGG